CAACACCTTGCGACGCTTGGCAGTCTGCCAAACGTTCACGAAGCTTCTTTTGAAAATCTTCATTGATTTTCCTTGCCCGATCATCAACGTAAGATCCATCAGCCTTTGTGTGTGTCTTATGGAGAAGCTCGATAATTGGAATTCTAACTCCTGTTTTCTTGCGCTTCAAAAATAAACAAAGAAATAAGTATAATGAAATATGTTTTCTTATCAAACTAAAAGCACTACAAGAGTTTTAAAAACCTTACAATTCTTTCACGATGAGCTTCAAAGGAGATGGAACCAGCGGTGTGCTTGTATGGACCGAGACCATTACATGGAGACAGTCGTGATTTAGAGCACTTCTTACTTCTCCTTACCACCTCAGGTTTCGCCCAATGGACACGCATCTCCTCCCACAATTCGTTATCGGTTATGAAGTGGGGTTGTACACCGCCTGTCTTGGCACGACTAACAAACACGTTGAGGAGTGAAGCAGCTTTTTCTTCAAAATGATCACGAATCACTCTAGTCTCATCATAATCCCAATTGTAATAATGCTACAAGGACAGGAATGCAACAATAAAATATAAAATCATGTAATAGCAATTGTATTATTAAACTAGTTAAGGGAATTAGATGAACTTACAATGAATTCATTAAACCAGGCATCTATAGTATCCCTATCAACACATTTCCAACTATACCAAGGCTCCTAAAAATTGCGTTGCTTCTTTGTAATTTGTCGAGAAATCTTGCTCTCGGTGGCAAACCTAAATGATTGTGTTAGAAGCTCGTTCACAAATAACACAAAGCTAATAAAAATAAATTTGATGATATTACCAGATTGTGTTATCCTCGCCATACTGAGAGATAAATGGCAGATTTTTTCGAGCTGGATTATTAAGAAGCTCTTCGAGAGTAATTGTCACTCTCTCACCAGTTGTCTCACGAGGCTCTGCAGGCTCTGGAGTTGCTGGGGAAGCCTCTGGCACTGCAGGATACATATGATCAGAGGATGATGGTGTGTTTTGTTGAGTACCAGGTATAGATTTCTATAGTTAATTGTTCTATGTGGTAGCCATATTTTATGTTATTCAATTTGGGTTCGCTATTACCCATTTAGGGTATATATTTCTACATTTATATGTTTTTATGGTTGTTGTAATTTATGTTTTTCCTTAATGGTTTTATAGGTGAGTCAATTTGGGTTCGCTAGTACCAATTTAGGGTTTAGAATTTTATAGTTGATTATTCTATATGGTGACCATATTTTTTATGATTGAATCTAGGTTTGCTATTACCCATTTAGGGTATAGACTTCTACATTTATATATTTTACGCTTGTTGTCCTTTATATTTTTTCTTAGCGGTTTAATATCGCTTTTATGTGTTAGTATCCTCAAATAGTTGTATAGTACTCATCAAGATTTAGTTTTTTTTCTTAGGGTTTACAGTTTACGTTATTTATTTTGGGTTCACTATCAGCTATTTAGGGTATAGATTTTAATAATTATATGTTATTTACGGTTTTCATACTTTAGATTTTTTTATTTGGGTTCACTAGTACCGTTTTGTTCAATATGGTAGCCATATTTTAAGTGATTCAATTTGGGTTCACTATTACCAATTTAGGGTATAAATTTCTACATTTATATATTGTTACGGTTGTTGTACTTTATGTTTTTTTAACGGTTTAATATCCCTCTTGTGTGTTTAGTATCCAAAATTGATTGTATAGTATCCATCGAGGTCTATGGTTTATGTTATTCAATTTGGGTTTAGATTAGGGTTTAGGTTTAGGGTTTACGTTATTATTTATTTTTAAGGTTTAGGTTTAGGTTTAGGTTTATTATTTATTTAAGGTTTAGAGTTTATGTTATTCAATTTAGGTTCGATAATATCTATTTAGGGTTTATATTTCTATAATTGATTGTTCTATATGGTAACCATAATTTATGTGATACAATTTGGGTTCACTATTACCCATTTAGGGTATAGATTTCTACATTTATTTATTGGTACAATTGTTATAATTTATTATTTTCTTTAACGGTTTAATATCTCTTTTGTGTGTTTAGTATCATAAATGATGTATACACTTTTTTCACATGTGGTGTGTACACCAATTAGTAATAGTCTTGTTGAAATATATTCCAATTGTAATGGTTTAAAATATGTATACTGCATATGCGTACATTACATATGAATACACAACATTTATGTATACTATACATACATATATACTGCATATATGTACACTGTAGTGTACACCGCATAGGTGTACACCGCATAGATGTACACCGTATAGGTGTACACCGTATAGGTGTACACCGCATAGATGTACATCGTATAAGTATACACCGTATAGGTATACATCGTATAAGTGTACACATATAGGTATACACTGCATAGGTGGACACGTACAGGTGTACACTGCATAGGTGTACACCGTATATGTGTTAATAATATCCGTTTTTAAAAATTCAAATTTCTATATGTGTAGAAAAAAAAAACTATAACTTTTATATGTATATGTCATAATCTGATTCGTTGTTTAGAATTAAATATATGATCAAAGATCTGAAGGGGAGAATCTTCTAAAAAAGTAAGAGAGAGAAAATAATTAATTTTTATTTTTTTATCATTAAAGTAGGAAAGAGAAAAATAAAAATATAGTTATTTCTAGGTGTATAAGCGAGTGTAGACACTTTTTGTTGGACTATGGTTTTTTGTATTTGTCTCTCTTTAAAAGACATATCTCTCTATCTCTGTCTCTCTCTAAGGCACAAGGGTAATTTTGGGGTTTTGAAAATATGGCCCCACCAAAACTACCGAAAAACTAATAAAAACTTAAAACTACCTATTTTTCAAATAAAAACTTAAAAAGTATCATATTTTCAAACACACTCTTTATAAAACTGTAACTTAAGCTGAGGGTAAATTCGTCATTGACCCAGTGGAATCTATAATTCGCTGCAATTCCATTGCAAAGTTGTTGAAACACTTCAAAAAAAACCGCCTGAAACTTTTAATATGGCGCCTGACATTTTAATTATGCCGCCCAAAAGATTAAAAAATTTCTAATCAGTTGCAAATTCATTACTAATTATCCATGTTTGTAAATAGAAATAAAATATAATATTTGTAGTTCTTTAATCTAAAACATTTATTCTAAGAGGATTGAAAATTGATTTATTTTTATGATATATTTTGCAATGGATTGCAAGGGAACTCAAGAAATATGTTGAAATTCAAGAAATTCGTTGCAAAATCCATACTATTCTATTGCAAGTATACTAAAACACATTTTTGTTAAGTTTAAATCCAGAAATGTTCATTTATAAGGAAACAATGAATGTTTAGAGAGTTTTTAATCAAGTCTAATGTTTTCTTTGATCATATTGCATTAGATCATCTATGGTATATGAAAAATATGTTTCAAAGTCATAAGTGTGAGTGAGAGAGTATTCAACTTAACTTGTTCTTAGAATGAAAGTTGGACTTTTAGAGGTTTTGACATGAATGATGATTTTTTTGGTGTTTTCAGTCACCTCATGTATTAAATTTACATTGGCAAATATACAATGCACAACTTGGATAAAAGCTATATAAGTAAAAGGATTCAAACTTGTTATAATTTTTTTTAATAAAATAAGCCAAATTGCAACAAAATTGCAAGGAAACTCAAGAAAGGCGTTGCAAAATTCAAAAAATTCCTTGCAAAATCAAGAAATCCGTTGCAAACTCAAGAAATCTGTTGCAAATTCAAGAAATCCGTTGCAAAATCGATACTACTCTGTTGCAAGTACTAACACATTTTGTTAAGTTTAAATCCAGAAATGTTCTTTTATAAGGAAGTAATGATTCTTTAAACTCTTATTCTGGTTTTTAATCAAGTCTAATGTTTTTTTTTATCATATTACATTAGATCATCAATGGTATATGAAACATATGTCTCAAAGTTATAAGTGTGAGTGAGGGAGTATTGAACTTAACTTGTTCTTAAAATGAATGTTGGACTGTTAGAGGTTTTGACATGAATGATGATTTTTTTTGGTGTTTTCATTCACTTCACGTATTACATTTACAAATATACAACACACAACTTGGATAAAAGCTATATAAGTAAAAATATTCAAACTTGTTATTTCTTTTATAAAATGAGCCACTTTGCAACGAAATTGCAAAGAAGCTCAAGAAATCCGTTGCAAAGTTCAAGAAGTTCATTGCAAAATCAAGAAATCTGTTACAAACTCCAGAAATCCGTTGCAAATTCATGAAATCCATTGCAAATCCGATGTTATTCTGTTGCAAGTACTAAAACGCATTTTGGTTCAGTTTGAATCCAAAACTTTTCTTTTATAAGGAAGTAAAGAGTCTTTAAACTCTTATTCTAGTTTTTAATCAAGTTTAATGTTTTATTTGATCATATTGCATTACATCATCTATGGCATATGAAAATTATGTCTCAAAGTCATAAGTGTGAGTGAGGGAGTATTCAACTTAACATGTTCTTAGAATTAATGATGGACTCTTAGAGGTTTTGACATGAATGATGATTTTTTTGTGTTTTCAGTCACTTCACGTATTACATTTACAAATATACAATGCACATTTTGGATAAAAGCTATATAAGGAAAAAGATTCAAACTTGTTATTTTTAAAAAAAAAAAACACTACAAGAAAAATGGGTATTGATAGCACACAAAAACAGTGATTATAGGGGTATAATAGCGTTTTCATAAACGCTAGGACAGCGGCAGCTATAATAGACCTCCCCTTATACAATAGCGGTTTCACATATGCTATTATATATTTATCTATCATAGCACTAATAGAATGTTTTAATATTCTTTCTTGTAGCACATGTTTGGGGTCATTTTATATTGTGTTGTAGCATTGTTTACGTGCTACATCATAAAATTATAATTTGCTATATTATTCTATATATATATATATACATATTTGAAATCCAATTAATAATGTTTACAAAACCGATTAGTTAAAAGCATGTTTCTTTCCATAAATCATCAAAAGATACATAACTGTAATTTTACAAAGCAGTTCATCTTTTAACATACAAGGTATCAAACGACATCATAACTACTGCAATTTCTCTAAGGACACAATCCAGAGCTTAAAATCACTTCTTTCTACCATCAGCTTCAGTCGTATGGTTTCTTATCTTTTGAGCAACAATTCTTCTTTTCTGCAAAAACAAAAAAAAATTGAGAAAATGAATAAACTCTAAGGAACAGAGAGAAAGAATCAGAACAAAAAACAAAAGCTAAAGAGATTTTAGGAGAAGAAGAAACGTCAACTCTTCATAGTCTCAAAAGCATCTTCACAAGAACACATAATCCAAATGGTCAAGGAGAAAACAGAAAACTCCATTTACAATACGAAAAATGAAGAATCAAAACATTACCACTTGTTGTAGATAATGATGTAGTGGTCTTGAGGAGTCGGTTGGTCTCAGTAAGCCCTGCAAGTAACCTAGTTTACGAGCAAAAACCTAAAACTGAATCATCACCCACTCAACTCAAAAACAAACAAACAAGTCCAAGATACAACACCTGCCATTTGAAATATCGACAAAGAACACATAGATTCAGAAATAAGTTAGCTTTCTCTAAACCTAAAAAAGCAAATCTCAACAGCGAACTACTAGCCAGATTCCACCATCTCCAAAAGAAGCATATATGGCTACTAAAATTATATCAATATACATTCAAAACTTGTTTAATTCCATAGATCATCAAAAGATTGATAATTGTAATTTTACATAAATAATTCAACGACATGAAAGTTTATACAAAAATCAAAATCACAAGATGGAACATTCAGTGTCGTTTTAGCGTGAAGTCAAAAACTAATATCAAGACCTACCAACTAGTAAGTCGAACTAAGATCTGGGATTGGAAGATTTACCAAGATATTGCTCAAAGAACATATAAAACACTGAATATGGATATCTCCATCTGAAAGAGAATAAATCACAAGTTAGTCATTAAGTTCACTGAGGGTCGATATCGAATTCAATCACACAACTCTTTTGAAGCAACAGAGAGATTAAACCATTAAAAAAGAATAGATGTATTGATAAGAGAAGAGTAAAGATGATGATATACTCACGGTGCATCTAGAAGAGCAGCAGCAGCAATTAAAGTACCACATTTACAACCAAAATCCACAACAGCCTTATCAGCTATGTCTTCATATGAATTCGCTGCCAAGTCAGATAACAACTCAGACTACAGAAATCTGACATCACTCTGATATTACTATCCTGTTGTGAATTTCTCAGTACACTTTTGAGCTAAGAGAAAAGAAATACACTTTTGAGCTAAGAGAAAGGATTTTACAGTGAAAAGCATGCGAGAAGCAATGCGCAGACCAGTTGGGTATTGCTCCAATTCCACCTGCAATACAAAAATCAAAAGATTTTGTTTGACTAAATAAGCAACTAATTTTCCAAAAATAAAAAAGCTTATCATTCAAAGACATAAATTTTTCATACTTTAGGATAGGAGAACTGTTCAAGATCACCGAACAAACCTTCAAATTGCTTCAGCTTCATCTTCTCCGGCGCTTCTGAATTCTGACGTGAATTAGAAAAATTCAGAAAAACTAATGATGCTCTGTTCTCAAATTAAGCTTGTACTTTCATCGAACACATTGTGTGCGCATATTACAGCATATAAAATCCGCAAAAAGGTGAAGGATCATTCAAGAGTCAATTACCGTAGGAACGATAGGGTCTTGATCTCTGCCGCCTAATCCTTTGGTGGAACTTAAAATTCTTACGCTTGAAGAGATTTCCATCAACAATAGCTGGTGATAATGTTGTTTTGATTGCTGGTTAGCCTCCTCATTGTCACTGTGTTAAGAATGACGAGAGAAGATTAACAAAACAAAATCTTAGCAGCAAACACAAACGTTTTGAAGAACTTGACAGAGAAAAAAAACCCACATTACCCATCCTTCGTACTTTTCACTGTCGCGGATTTTCTTGCCTTTGAGGATCTATAGGAAAAGGCCAGATTCTCATAGCTTCGTCGCCCGGGACTGGTTCTCTGATAAAGCACAGATCCGCTTATGGACAGCGAAGTAAGAATCTTCGCTTAAGGAACCACGGTAAAAGGGACCCAATGGAGAGTAAGATTGTGGCCGACGAGAAAGCTTTGAGGTGAATAGAGAATGCCCTAAGGGAAATATTTTTTTATGTTCTAAATTTTTTGTCCGCCTGGTTTTAAATTAGTCAACATACCGTATGACGCTAAGTTTTTATTTTATTTTTGCAAAGTGTTGGCGGTCTAAGTGAATTTATGAGAGGCAAAATGAATTTTAGCGTCTCACTTGGAGTTTTTTGGCTTAGCATTTTTTGAATGCTATAATAGAGTAACCCAACCTCGGATACCACTTAGCATAGCAGTTACAGAAACTGTGCTATAATAATGTGCTATCAATAGCCATTTTTCTTGTAGTGAAATGAGCCACATTGCAACGACATTGCAAGGAAACTCAAGAATTCCGTTGCAAAATTCAAGAAATTCGTTGCAAAATCAAGAAATCTGTTACAAAACTCCAAAAATCCGTTGCAAATTCAAGAAATCCGTTGCAAATCCGATGCTATTTCGTTGCAATTACTAAAACGCATTTTGGTTAAGTTTGAATCCAAAACTGTTCTTTTATAAGGAAGCAATGATTCTTTAAACTCTTATACTGGTTTTTAATCAAGTCTAATGTTTTCTTTGATCATATTGTATTAGATCATCTATGGTATATGAAAAATATGTCTCAAAGTCATAAGTGTGAGTGAGGGAGTATTCCACTTAACTTGTTCTTAGAGTGAATGATAGACTGTTAGAGGTTTTGACATAAATGTTGATTTTTTTTGTTTTTTCAATCACTTCATGTATTAAATTTTCACTGGGAATGTACCATACACAACTTGGATAAAAGCTATATAAGTAAAAGGATTCAAACTTGTTATTTTTATAAAAAAAAAAATTGAGCCACATTGCAACGCAATTGCAAGGAAACTCAAGAAATCCGTTGCAAGATTCAAGAAATCCGTTGCAAAATCAAGAAATCTGTTACAAATTATAGAAATTCGTTACAAATCATTCGTCATCACTACATTACATTTCATTTAAATCGTTTGAACTAGTTTCATACTCAAAATTATTTTCTTCAAATTCGTTTAACGGTTCTTCATCTCCAGTCTCTTCGTAGTCCATTAGATCAGCTGCTTCAAAAGAAGTTACCAGTTCATTAACTTGTAATTCTTGAATGGTAAATGTTTCTTCAGTTTCATCTTCTTGAAAAGGAATAACTGTAACACCCTCGATTCGTCCTCTTGGATTGATTTTGATAGCACAGAACCAAGAATCTCTTGAATCAGTTAAACTAATTTTGGGGTATGGAATGAAAACCACTTGGTCGGCCTGTGACGCAAGAATAAATGGCCCATATTTTTTATAGCTTCGCGAGGTGTTGACATCTATAACTCCAATGCTATTTTTTCGCACTCCTTTACCGATTGTTGTGTCAAACCAACTGCAGCAAAAAAGAATAATCTTCAAACTAATGAGACCTGGATATTCAAGCTGAATGATTTCGTCCAAAACACCATAGTAGTCTCGATCCTCGGTCAAATCAGAACCATATCCTTTGACGCAAATCCCATAGTTGATTAACGATTTTTATGAACCATAGTCATGCGTGTGAAATATATACCCTCTAGTAACATACATCGGCCACGAAAGGACCCTCGTAATTGGTCCCTTCACTAATTCAAGTAACCACAATGGAAATGTTTCCATCATCGAAGTCGAACCATCACCATTTTCAACCTGCAAGTAATAATTCAATTAAAATTAATTTGCTGGAATATGATATTCTTTTTTAAAAAAGCTTCGTGTCTACCTGTGTAACTAACTTACATAGTTTTTCAACCAATATGAATAGTTTTTTTCTTTTTTTTTTCACCAGATCACCATCACGTATTCCAGAGAAGCACCTTCTTAGATACTCCTCGTATATGCTGCAATAAAATTTAAAGTTTAGTAATGTTATTTGATGTTCTTAATAAAAAAAAACAATTATTCCTTTTATTTATGTACCTCTCATACTTTTGTAGATATTCACAATTCATCAACACATATGTATGTGCAATGTGATGATCGTCTTTGTTTAACCATATTTCTTTTGATTTTCGACTAACTCTTCCTCTATGCATGAATATGTCTGGAAGTCCCGTAACAGGATAGTATGGTGCTTCACCGTCATCATATCGATTAGCCTTCCTTGTTTTTGTTTTAATGTGTGACTCGAAGTAATATTCCAAAAAATAAGAACCCTCCTCTATTAGATATTGTTTCACAATCGATCCTTCAACTTTGGCCATGTTTTTAACCTTTCTCTTCAAGTGGCTCATGAAACGTTCAAATGGGTACATCCACCTAAACAAAATTAAAAGAAATATATATATATATAAGATATAGCTGAAAAAATTGATATAAATATAAAACATATACGTACCGGAATTGAACCGGACCACCAAGTTCAGCTTCACGGGGGAGATGAATAGGCAAATGCTCCATCACATCAAAGAACGATGGTGGAAAAATCTTCTCCAAATTACACAAAAGAATAACAATGTTATCTTTCATGAGAGCGATTCAATCTTTCCGCAAAGTTCTGGTGCATAAATCTCGGAAAAATGCTCCGATCCCTGAAAATATTAAAGTACAATAGTATATAAAACTTATATTTATAATACATATAATCTAAAAAATGAATTTAATTAATTATCAAACAAAATACCTGCCACTGTCACATGAACATCACCATGTAGAAGTTCTGCAAATATAAATGGAAGTAATCGTTGCAAAACAACGTGACAGTCATGGCTCTTCATACCTGTCATACCATTCTGGAAATCAACACAATTTCTAAGATTAGACGAATACCCATCAGGAAATTTCACATTGTCTGCCAACGACTCCAAAAAAGCCCTTCTGGCCTCTGCACTCAATCTGAACAAAGGGATCGGGGCTTTTCCATCACTGGTGATATGCAACTCTCCCCGCGAACAATACAACGTTAAATCCAACTGTGATGTCATTTTGTCCTTTGTCTTATCTCGAACATGTAATATTATTCCGATAATGTTATCATGAAAGTTCTTCTCAATATGCATTACATCCAAATTGTGGCGTAAGATATGTTCCTCCCAGTATGGCAATTCCCAAAATATACTTTCTTTATGCCAATTATGCCATTCTCCATATCCCTCAGCGGTTTTTTCATGGCCATTTCCCCCACACTTGCTTGTCTTTTCCACATTTGACTGTCGTATGCGCTCGTATAAGATCTCTTCCCCTGACAAATATGGTATTGGATCAGATGTAACTACTTTGTTTCTTATGAAATTCTTTCTGTTGCGTCGTAACCGATGGTTTTTTGGGAGAAACCGCCTGTGACAATCAAACCAGCTTGATTTTTTTCCATGTTTCAACCAAAAAGCATCAGTATCTTCCATACAATACGGATATGATAACCTACCATGGGTTGTCCACCCTGATAACATGCTATAAGCTGGATAGTCACTAATGGTCCACATAAGCACCGCACGCATTAAAAAAGTTTTTTGCAATGATATATCATACGCATCAGCTTCATTTTGCCACAAATCCTTCAGTTCTTCAATCAGTGGCTGCAGAAATGCATCTAGGCTCTTACGTGGATGCTCGGGCCCAGGAACCAAAATCATTAGAAATAAAAATTCTGTTTTCATGCACATATGAGGAGGTAGATTATATGGAGTCAGGATTACTGGCCACAAAGAATAGTTTTGCCCAAACATCCCATATGGTTTAAATCCATCAGTACACAATCCAAGATAGACATTTCTATATTCCCGAGCAAAACTTGGAAATACCTGATTGAAATGTTTCCACGCTTTACCATGTGATGGATGAGACATAATATCATCATCCGTTAAATGCTCGGCATGCCATCTCATTGATGAAGCTGTCTTGTGAGATTGATACATCCTTTTTAATCTATCTGTGATTGGTAAGTACCACATTTTCTTCCATGGAATCTGTACGGTCTTCTTTTTTGCCTTACCCGTTCTAGGATTCAATACCTCCTTAGCAGTTGATTTGTATCTACTTTTCTCACAAAACCGACAACACTCCAAATTTGCATATTCTTTCCAGAATATCATGCAATTACTAGGGCAAATGTCAATTGTTTGATAAGGTAAACCGAGACCACTCACCACTTTTTTGGTCTCATAATATGAACCACTAGCTTTGTTATCCGTTGGAAAATAGTATTTTATCGTTGCTGCCACCCTATCCATACAACTCTCCGGTAAATTGAAGTCCGTCTTTATGCTCATGCATCTTGCCGCCAATGAAAACGGTGAATGCCTTTCTTTGCAACCATCATAGATTGGTTGTTTAGCAGCCTCTATCATATCATAAAAGTTTTGCGACTCTGCATTTGGCTCTTCAATATATTCATTATGATTATATGCATTGAAATCATGTTGATTATCATATGCACCTGAATCATATTGATTATATGCACTTGAATCATACTGATTATATGCACTGCAAATAGCATGATCATAATTATTATATGCATATGCATCTTGCACCATTTCGACATAACTATTATCAGTGTAGTTTTCTTCGACATGATGACTTGTGTTACCATCATTTGCATTACTACTACTACTCCCTAGAGTTATATTACTAACCAAATAGTTTTCTCCATGTGTTCGCCACATATAATAATTCTGCATGAACCCTCTTGAATATAAATGCTTCCCAACTAAATCAGCTTTCAGACATTTTCCATTTTGACACTTAATACACGGGCAAAATAACGTACCCGTATTTACACAATCTGGCTGACTTGTCGCAAACTCCAAGAACGTCGTTAATTCTTTTCTGAATTCTTCAGAAACTTGATTTCTTCCATCCAACCTCCTGTACATCCATTGTCTTTCGTTCACTAACCTTGCATAAGACATTTAATTTAGTTTTCTTTTTTTTTAAAAAAAATATATATTTCTCATTGTAATAAATTGTGAGCTTGGGTTTTGTTTATATAGAAAAATATAGAAACGAATTTGCAATATACTCACCTACTTACAAGCCCACGTTTAAAATTATTCCCACCTACCACATTTTGCAACGTCTTTCCATT